ATATATGCAGTGTATTATTTGTTGAAACTGTACTTTCGATTTGATTTGAAACTGTCTCATTGCTGTCTGTTTATCAATAAAACTTTGAAAAAAAAAAAAGAAAACTGAAAACAAAAAAATAAAATAAAATAAAATATTGGCTCAAAGCTGGGCATGGTGGTGCGGGCCTGTGACCCACCAGTGTCTGGATGCTACTATTGACAGAAAATGTGAGGAGAGCTGTATCGTTCATATACCCAGCATGCACTACCAGTAAGTATGTAATATTTTAATAAATACTTCTGAATGATGTCATCCTAACCAGACTGCATCCTTATGCTGTTGTCTAAGCACCCCACATGTTTTGTGTTATTTGAATGTTATAGCAGTCCTATGAGGAAGATATGGTTCCTCTAGTTCAACAACTTTTTTTTTGTGTGTGTGGTACCAGGGATCAAACTCAGGACCTTGTGCTTGCAGGAAATACATCCCGAGAGGGGCTAATTTGCCCAGGGTCCTGTGTGCAGTGATGGTTTTGCTCCAGGCTTATGTCTATAGGGTCTGTTCCATCCTAGGACAGCTGAGGGGTGTAACGACCTTACTACCACCTCCACAAAGAGGCTTCTATCTCCCTCTTCAGACCCTATCTGAAGGAAGAAGGTGGGACTGGATTGTCTTACATCATTTAAAAAAGTGTCTGTGCTTTGCCCCAGATGGATGAGAACAGTTTTTCTTTTTTTTTTTTTTTGTCAGTAGATGATGGCTGATTACTGAAATCATAGCTTTTTCTGGTAAGAAATTATACAATATTATTATTTTGCCTTATCAGTACATTCCATCACACATACTTTTACTTGACAATGATGTTGATAGGTCTGTTGTTTATATGACGAGTCACAAGATGGTTCACTTCTCTGCATGGTATTTATAAGATGCAATGAAAGCAGTCCTCAGCAGGAAATTGACAGTGGTGAACTCTGCTGGTTTGAGTGTAGACTGGTACAACCATGATGAACATTGGTGTTGAGAGTTCTCAAAAGATTACAAGTCCCATTTAATCCAGCTATTCCTCTTCTGAGGATTTTCCCAAAAGAATTTATTATTGCTGGTCATGAACCCAACGCTCCTCAGTGTTCTCGGCATATCATTCCACTGAGAGTGTGATTTTAAGTGTGGATCAAGAAGGCACTTGCAATTTGTTTCCATAAGAGAACAGTTTTTCTTAAATGACCTATATGTGGTAGGGGGGCTGGGGTTTGAACAGGGAGGGGGCACGACACATGAAAGGCCAGTGTTGCCCCATGAACTGTACCAGCCCAGATGGCATCAATGCTGTTAAAAAGCATCCAGGTCATTCACCGTACAGCTGGCTGACAATTCCTGTTCTAGGCTGATGCTAAAGGCCTTCCCATGGCTAACCTGTCGTGAGCCCTGATCTACGGTGGAAAGGCTTTCTTTTGTGCCTGAGGCACAGATTGCTGGTAGCACACTAATGATTTTGGCCTGCGAATGTATTATGAATCACACAGGCGCCAAGGCTACACCTGCCCCCAGACAGAGTAGGAGAAAGAGTCCAACGAAAGACTCTCATTGAAGAGTTGCCCGAAATGGGTAGCCTGATCCTCTATAGAAAGAAGCACGGAAACACTGGAATTGGTGAGATGAGCTGCAGCTTACTGAAGACGGCAGCCTGCGTTTCAGCATGAGTCAAATGACGTAACACTGAATTCACACCTTACTTTGCTTTGAAATATCCATATAGGATGCTTCGTGTTAGGATTTAAGATACAGCTCTATGTTGTTGCAAATGTCAAATGAGAAAATATTTGGGAGAATGTTTTTTTATAGTGTAATGCAATATAAAATATTTTGTACCTGGGCTTTTACCTACAAATAAAGATGGCTCCTGTTTTGGCAAAGACTATGCATACGTGGGTCAAGTCATAATATACAAACAATGCTATGTTACTTGTATCCTGTGTAATAAACAAGTTCTTCTGTATGTAAGAAATTTGTTTATTTTATTCATCCATCTAGGAACTTTGGAATTTGTACTATTAACATGAGTGGACTTGTAAAAATATATAATATTTTGCTCAAAAAATTTCCCCCACACATGAGAACTACATTAAAGAAACAGAAAATGCAATGTTTTCCATTAGAAGATGGATTCAAATATGTAACTGTCATTCAAGATGAGCTGAGGCCTTGAGAAAACTGCACTGGTTTTCCCTTATTCTCTTTTTCCTTTATCCTTTCTCTACTGGGGAATACTTTGGATATCAGTTGTTCTTTGAGTAGAAGATGGATTCCACTTAATGTTAGAGTTGAAAAAATGACTAGCAATTTGATACAGTTGTTTACCTAGGTGTTCAGCACAAAATAAGAATTCTTTGGGATTTCTCAAAAAGGTATGTTGGGAATCTCTTTACTTTAGAGTACATATGACACAATGGATAGCTTTAGAACAAGCTAACATTACTGTTATCCAGGCATGTGCAACTGGTGAAGTTCAGTAGTCCACAAACAACTCAAACGAACACATGACAGGCCAGAAACTTAAATTACAAAATACAGCCAATATTACAATTCATACAGAGAGTAAAAACCACTGCTCTCAGATTCTGCACACTTTAAAAAAAAAAAAACTTTATACAATAATCAAATTATGCCTTTCTACCCAAATTCTCAGGGCACATTACAGACACACCTAATCCTAAAAGCTGTGGTCACATTTCGGTTTTCTTCCAGTGGTGCACAATCGCGTGAAACGTTGTATCTGTTCCGTGTGAAATAAACATTTGGCTGAAGCATCATAGCTGCTGAGTTAAAAATACCTCCATAAAAATGTTTTGACTGAAATAATCCTGAACATTAGAATTCTAATTAGGATTATTTTGAGTCTTTATGAAGAGTTCTTAAGAACTGTAGAAGCAGAAGCAGTTAGGAAATTTCAGTGTGTTTTGCCTAATTTTTTTTTTCAACAAAAGTAAACAAATACTGGATTTAAAGTGCAGCTTCTTTCTTCTCTCCATTCAGTCCTCCGTCCCCCTGAAGATTAGTTCTGCATTAACGTTCAGATTCGCCACCGAAGGTTAAGTTGCACGCAGGTCAAGGGCGCTTGCGTCGAAAGTCAACGATGGCCTTCCACAGTGTGCACAGCATCCCTCCCCTGCGAAAGCACGGCAACATTGTGAGAACACTGCACTGGAGACACTGCCCTTGACGTAGACCAGTGACTTCTCAGCTTTCAGTTGCGTGGGGCGGAACAGGAGGATCCCACACTCTTATCGGCTCTCTCTTATGTAACTCTTTGCACGTATTGTGCCAGCGTCCCTCTTCCTTTCTCATCTACTCCCTCAGACTCCCAGGCCCCCAAACACCATTTTAGATTTGCAGCAGTTTTTCAAATGCACCTTTATAGATGAAGGTGTAATGATTATAGGTATGCTTCACTTGCTAGAGAAAATTACGGTAAGAAATCATATCAGATTATACCAGCCCCCTTTCCTAATTATTTCTTTCTTTTTTCCCCCTGTATTTTAGGGAAGGGTCTACAGGGTGTTCAGGGTCTCACTACTAGATCGGACTCCTAATGATCCACCTGTTTACAGCTTCCCAAGAGCTGGGATTACAGGTGTGCACCACCATGCCCAGTCTCAATTCCCTCTCAGCGCACCCCCAGGGGCGGGGCCGGCACAGCAGGTTCAGGGATTGAGCCCCCGGCCCCTGCGCCTAATTATTCCAAAAAGGATGAGGCAATCATGAACTAAACTCCAGGGTCTACACTAGCATGATCTTTGTCTGTATGTTAGTCAAGAAAACTCTTCTACTTGGTTTTCAGTCACATACCGACACTGTTGGTTAGAACGTCCAAAAGTAGCCTGGCCAATGAAGTTGACACAGAGTGGCTGCAAACCCAGGAGCCCTGCCTAGGAGCGCAGTGCTGGGTACACGGCCCCCCAGGAGCCCGGGTTTCATAGCACCAGCCTGGCGCTCCTTCCACCCTGCCCACCGCAGCACAGAACCAAAGGAGGTACCTTAGTCTCAGGCATTTGAGATCATCGCGTGTAACATAGTAGAGAACATCCACTAGTGTATAGTCCTCAGCCAAAAACTGTAGAGAAAGGAAAATGTGCAAAAGTAAGATGTTTCGTCTTCCTTTAATAAACTCCATCTATCATACAGAAACAGCAGTGGTAATCACTAATAATCTCAAAGGAAATCCACTAAAAATATAACCTTGTGGAATTAGTACAGGAAAGGCCTCTTTAATGTAAAGTAACGGCAAAGAAGTGCACCCAAATGACCTCCAGATGCATGAAGGTCACAAGTGACACAGTATCTGAACAGGCCTCCAATGAACAGTGAGTTTTGCTTGAAACTACTCCTGCTGCTCCTAAGCACATGTTTGTGTAAAGAGATTTGGTGCCACACAGCTTTTTTTCCTCAAATGAATAAAATGTTCCTGGAAAGTTACCATGTATATTTAGTCTCTAAACTTAGTTTTTCACAATTCATAAAAGAGATTTTCATGTAATTCGCTGCAAAATCAAGAGTGCAGAATTTAAACTGAAGCTGTTGATTTTAAAAACCACCTATGTTTATGATTATTAAATATATTTACTATATATTTTATGTATATGTCGTACATGTATATTATATATAAGTTATTTAGGGCAAAATACGAAGTTAAAAACTTGGACAGTCATTATCTCTACCATCTATGTTACCTATCTATATCTATGCCTGTCTGTTGTAGTGTGGGGTTTTGCAAGGGGAACAATACCACCCAGGACATTTAATCATAAGATTATTTGTAAGGTCACCAAAGGACTCATATACAGAAAGAGTATAGAGAATCTGTCCGCACGCGAGTATTTAGTGGATAACTACTGCTCCTGAATTGTGACTTGAGTCCAAGTTACAGGGAGAAATATTTAGGAAGACTTGCTTGGAGGCATTATTTTCCATTGGCAAGGGAGTTGTTGCAGTTTCGTTAGCAGCAATTTATTAACTGTGGATTTCCAAGGAGGCCTACATTATAGCTAGGAGTCCAACAGATCATCAAGTGAAGGGGAAAGATATCTTTTAGTTATTTTAAAAATTTAAATATAAATTGAGGGCCAGGGAGATAGCAAAATAAGCGCTTGCCTGGCAAGTGCAGGGTCCTGAGTTCAATCCTGGTACAAAAAAAAACCAAAAAAACAAAAAAACAAAAAACTGAAATAACATTAGGAGGATTTTTCTGTCAAAAAGATCACCTCTTAATGTGTGCATGTGTTTATATAATCTTAATATGTAAATATTGTTCATGCTAAGTATAGACATCTATAATGGTCAGAGATAAATTAGGTTACTACTGACATAATATGGTTTGTATAAAAAACATACCTAACAAAATTTACCAACTAGATAGATCTATTTTATTAAGTAACAATAAATAATTGCTGCCCAAGAGTCTACTAATGATGGAAGAGAACTGGGCTGAGATAGCTCAGTGGAATAAATGCTTGTCTGGAAAGCACAAGGCCCCAAGTTTGATCCCTAGCACCATAAAAAAAAAAAAAAAAAAAATAGCAACAGCATTAACTTTTTATCTTTTGTTTCTGTCTTGAATTATTTCATTTTATTTTATTTTTAATTCAAAAAATTAAAAACCTTAGAGGCAGTGGACAAAATGCATTAGCCTGTCTCTTTGTTAATGCACACCCTGCAACGCCCCCTGGAAATCGTCTTCTCCTCCTCTGATCCCCCACCCAAACATACATCCAGGTGGCCTTGTTTATCCCTCCAGCATCCCCCGTCACTTCCTTAGAGGACTTTTCCCCAAACTTCCCTACTTTCTCGGAACACTGGAAATTTTTCCTTCTCGGAATTTACTGCTTATTATGCATTTTATCTGTGGAACTGAGCCAGTTTCTGTCTGCCTACCCTGGTTCACAAACAGGAGGTCAGGGCTGGCTCTGACTAGCTCCCCCGTGTGTCCCCTTATGACTTGAAGGTTCCCTGGCACACAGCAGGCATGCAAAGTTCTGAAACAAAAGAACACAAGCCCCACAGTTTTCTTTACCCGGCTGATAGTGTCTTCATCAGCTCCATTTTCTCTCAGCCAGCTGATGAGTTCAGAATCTTCAGTGTTTGCGCCTGGAGAATTCAGGTGACACACTGGTAACTCAGGGATATCTAGAACCAAATTTGGAGGTGACATTCTTAGCTTTGTCTCACAGTTTACAAACATTTACATGCTTCTTACAAGATTTCACTCTAGCAGAAACTAGTTATAGAAACAATTCAGATTGACAATATAAATGATAATTAAAGAAAATGAGACTGGATAATGCACCAATAAAAAGGTGTCAGAGGCACTAATTTAAGATATTTCCACTTTGTGCTCTCATGTCAACTTTCCAGTTTCTCTCTCTCTCTCTCTCTCTCTCTCTCTCTCTCTCTCTCTCTCTCTCTCTTTCTTTTTTGTGATACCAGGGATTGAACTCAGGACCCTGTGCTTGCCAGGCAAGCACTTATTCTACTGAGCTATCTTCCTGGGTGCCTCAACTTAATAGTTTCTTAATCTTTGTGTGCCAAAGTTATGCTTTGTGCTTTTCAGGCAACAAAGATGAACACAGCAAAGAATTATAAAATTATAATGATATTTTTCACTATTTGTGATAATATGAAAAGACTTCACACAAATGACTATTTTCTTCAAGATGAGTTCCATAAGAGTCTCTAAAGATTATCTTTCACCCACAGTTTCTCATAGTTTTTTCATATTTCTAACTTATTTTTTTAATTATTGTATCCCTGTTCTATGTAAGCCTCCTCAAATTGTAGAGGGGAAGGGGTGGAATATACTGAATACGAATGAAAAATAACAGCATTATTTTCTAGTAGTCTCCTTGTGATATCTTTAAAAAGAAAGACTAAGTAGAAAGACTATATATATATAATTTTGGAAAAAGTAACCATGGGGAGGTTTATTTTATTTTTTTGTTTTTTGGTGCTGAGGATGAAACCTAGGGCTTCCAGCTTGCTAGGCAAGCATTCTACCACTAAGCTAAATCCCCAGCATCAGAAAAAATAACTATGCATTGTCCATTTTTACTACACTCATAACAGTTAAAAATTGAGTTTTTAAAAAAGCAATCCCAGCTTGTGCCAGTGGTATAAGGGACGGGCTGACTAAGCCATGCTACGGCACTGCCTGTGGCCTTCTCAGCTTTTTGTCCAGGCTGGGCGAACAGCACTGCTTTGAAATTTCTTGCTGTTTACCTATTGGCTGGGACTTCAGCCTCAGGTGTTTAATTTCTTGTTCTTTTTCTTCAATAGCTTGATGAAGGAGGGCTTGTAATTCTTTCTCTTTCCGAACCAATTCTTCCAGTAATCTGCAAAGGAAAATTATATTGGTTGATAGAATACTGAAGCTGAAGCTGATACACAGTGATCCTCTAGATACGGGCCTCTCAAGGTACAATCACCACAGACACCCCTGGGATTTTCCAGGAACAAAGGCCGTATTCCAGCAGCTCTGGGGTGAGGTCAGAGACTGCCTGGGGAACAGGCGCCCAGGAAGCACTGAGGCTGAAGAGCCACAGACCATCTTCCACCTCCACTAGCAAACGTCTGGAAAACTCTGTGCTTCCAGGCAAAGATTCAAAACCTTCCTGCCCGATGGTCTGTCAAAAATCTTCAGAGCTACTGTTCTACTTCTCAAGACTATGGATGTCAAAATTATAAATATGAGACAATAATACTGGCATTTACATGGATAGCCCCTCATAAAAGTTGGTAAATATGGGTATCCAAATCAGCGCAAAGAAGAAAGGTAATTACTTTTCTTTAACTATGGAAACTGGAGCGCTAGCTCTGACTGAGATGGCCAAGAATTACACGTGCTCAATACGTGTTGCCGAAACTGTGGTTGTGACTATGTTATTTTCTCACTTGTGGAGGTGGCTAGGGTTAGTGAAGTGGTTAAAGGATTGCTGTGTTCTCGGTACATTTAGTTCCTAACTGGTATCTGATGCTGTTTCCAAAAAACAAGGAGAAACTATGACACTTTAAGTTCTTGTCCACGGAAGGTTCATTATGTAACTGAGGACCAAATGATAACCGACTCACCTTGTCCAACACTACTTCCTGGAGAAGATCATCCAGGTTATGAAAAGCAATGTGGTATTGCTTAGTAGCTTAGATGCAGAATCTCTTTTTCTGTTTGTTTGTTGTTCGTTTTTTGATATATGGTCTAACCAGGCAATTACAGCCAGCCCTGAACTTGCTGTGCATCCCAAATTGGGCTCAAACTCACGATTCTCTTGCCTCAGCCTCCTAAAGGCTGGAACTACAGGCATGCACCACCATACCTGATTTTAAACTATATCATGTATTAAGATTATGAAGATATAATTATCATGTATCTATAGCTCTTAACAAACTATCTTTGTTTCATTTTCATTTTCTTTTTTTTTTGAGACAAGGTCTTGCTATGTAGTTCAGACTGACCTTGAACTCACTATGTAGCCCAGGGTTACCTAGAACTCATGGTGATCCTCTTGTCTGAGCCTCCCAAGTGCTGGGATTACAGGTGTGTGCTGTCACACCTGGCTGTTTTATTCTCTTGTTGACAGATGTGCCTCAGGACCATGTTCTATATAGGGGCTTATTTCCACTCCTGTTAACAAGCTTGAAGGCAGCAAATGAAGAATATGCCTGGGCTCTATCTTGGTTCAGCCATGCGACTCCTGTGTCAGCCTCAGACTAATTACCTGGTGCCTCTGGGCTTCACTTGGCACATTTGTAAAAAAGAACAGGAAAATTTCTGGAAAGGATTATTGTGATCATTAAGTGAGATAACATAGGTAAAGTGCTAGGCAGTGCCTGGGCTTTAATACGGGCTATCTTGGGTCCTGCTGTAGCTTCTGGTTCTGCAGAAGTATCTTCCCACAGCTCGGGCTATGTTCTTATTCCAACTTCCAAGCTCTGCTCTACTTTCATGGCACATAAAGATGATAATAGAAGGGCTAGCCAGATAGCTCAGTGGACTAAGCACCTGCTTAGGTAGAGTGCAGGGGCAGGGCTCGAACCCCAGCACCACAGGTTGTGCAGGCCCCGCCCCAGGGTGTAGCAGGAGACTGCTACAGAGACTGGGCGTGGTGGCGCACGCCTGTAATCCCAGAGCTTGGCAGCATCACTATGAGTCCAAGCTGTGGTAGTGAGACCCTGTAGACCCTGTACGAACTACATTAAAAAAAAAGACAAACCCTTTTATATTTCAAGTACTATTCAACTGAAAATTATGAGGACCAATACAGAGATGACTGGTCCCTGATGTCAGTGGCTCAGTGCCTGAACTAAACCAGTGCTCTTCCTTCAACACCGTGTTGAGCAAACACTGTGTTTCATCTTACTTTTCTGAGGGTGATGGAAGAAATATGGGAGAAATGGCCAAAAAAAGAAAAAAGAGGCCAATAACACTCTAGACTTCAGATTTAACTATAAATATGTACAGAAAAACATATAAATGCATGGGCTATTAGGGAAAATGTATTTGTGCTCGAAAGTAGCAAAGGAAGGTAGCAAATCCCAGTTTTCTCAACAGAGAAGGACTCCAAAACAGGACTGGAGCTGGGGCTGAGGGCCTCAGAGGAGGAATGTGAAGATGTGAGGAAAGTAGCTGGAGCAGCCCTTGGTGACAGCTGATGGCACAAGAACAGGGACAGCCGGCAGTGGCAGGGGGTAGACACTAGGCCAATGAAACGGGCAAAGGAGAAGAAGGAACAGAGTACACAGCCAGGCTGCATTCAGAGAGGTGGGTCTGTTGACACAGCCAGGGTGTGTGGATGGCTGGTTTCAGGGCCAGGAAAGCAGACAGACCAGCTCTTTAGTAAACAAAGCTGTTTTATTGTCTGTATAATTCTGACCAGAAACTGTGGGTCAGGAACCCATTCACACAGCAGCACATGCGCCCCAAAAAACACCTTTAGAGAAGGGACTAAAGGTAGCCCCGCCCATAATGGATAGGTACTAAAATTAGACTACTGCTTGAGAAGAGCAAGAATAGGAAACACCAAGATTTAAATAAAGTCTTAGAAAACTCCCAAATTCTTCATTCCCAAGTAGTAGAGATGAAACGTAAAGATCAGGATTCAGAGGATGGGATATGCAAGTCAGAGAGCTAATTTCCCTTTATTAAAAAAAAAAAACAAAAAACACTTGGGGGCCGGGAAGATGGCTCAGTGGAATAAGCGCTTCCCTGGCAAGTGCAAGGGCCTGAGTTCAATCCCCGATTCTACAAAAACAAAAACAAAAACAAAAAAAAAACACACCACCACCAACAAAAAAACACTCTATGTAAACTATAGAGACAGGTACATATGAGTTTACGTGATCATGCAACCAAAATTCCTGTTTCTGAATACAGAATGGGCTTTGTATTAAATTTGGCACGTAAGCCTAACTTTAAAAACCCAGGGCTGGCCAGATAGTTCAGCGGGCTAAAGTGCCTGCTTAGGCCGAGCGCAGCGGCTAGGGGTTCAATCTCCCTAGTGTGCAGGCGGCCCCACCCCCCGGACGTGCTGAGATGGTGATTGAGAATGAGCATGGTGGGGCTTCCCTGTAATCCCAGGGTTTGGGAGGCTAAAAACTGGAGGATCACTACAAGTCCAATCTGTTTAGTGAAGCCCTATAGACTCTGTACCAAATACATTAAAAAAAACCCCTAAATTTATGACTAAAGTCAGATATTTTTATCTCCTTAGTGAACAACTAGAATTTTCACCTGAGATCTCAAAATATTTAAATAACTTTTATTGACTCACCAACAAAAAAAGAAAAAGAAGTTATCACCGCAAACCCAGAGCCATAAAATTAGTTTCCCACATCAATAGTAGCCAACACAAGAAGCTATAAATCATAGCTTCAGACCTTGAGCTATATTGAAATAACAGATGGACAGGAAATATTTACTGTTCACTTAACCTGATTGAGTGGGTTTCATGCTACCAAATTCTCAAAGATGAATTAAACTCTAGAGATGTCCTCCTGGCACAGTAAAAGTTGAGTAGAATTATAAGTGCGGTCAACTGTCATCATTTCAAGGTTTTAAAGTACAAAGTTAGTTTTGTCCCTGCAAGTACAGGATCTTCCTCTCCTAAAAGAAGCTGATATTCCAAATCATGGGCTTTTAAAAGAACACAGGCTTTCTGTCCTTTCTCTTAGCTATCAACTGGCAAGAACACATTGCTCCAAGTCTGCGCATAACTGAGGTTACAACTCAGTTACTCTGCAAGTTTCAGTGCACTCGAAGCAAAGTAGCAAAGAAGTGGTGCTGGAGAGGGCCAAGTTTATACAAATGGATTAGAGGAATCATATTTTGTTTGTTTGTTTGTTGGGGACTGTACTGGGGATTGAACCCAGGGCCTTGGGATGACAGGCAAGCACAGCATCACTGAATTACACCCCCGGCCAGGAATCATATTTTGTATGTTCTGTGGATCAGACTTTTAAAGTAGACCATGGTGCCAAGGAGATAGCTCAGCGGTCTAAGCACCTGCCTGGCAAGTGCAAGGACTCGGGTTCAATCCCCAGAACCTCATGCTGTACTAGCCCCACACTGAGCCAGCCATGTAGTGGGACCCTGTAACAAATAAATAAATCAAAAGAGATTTAAAAAAAATAAAGTAGGCCAAAACACATACAATTTTACAGAAGTAAAAGAACCAGCCCGTGCCAGCATATTACCTATTAGTTTCTATTTTCATCCTTCCAAGCTGCACATTCAGTGACCGGTGAGCACTCTGAGAATCATGGGACACGGTGGAGCTGAGTGTGCTCACCCCTGAGGTGGCCACAGCATCTTCAATGACAGCCTGGGGTCTTCGGACTGTTTGATTGGAAGGTGGTTCCTCATGCTCATCATCTACATCCAAGTCTTCCGGATCAGCAGTGTCACTCTCTGATGCCAGGCTAAAATGTGGCCTCAGTTCTGTTTGGAATGATATTCACAACATCACTGATAAAATCCAAGCAATTCATGTCGTAAGATACAAATATCAGGCTGGGTGCAATGGCATCGTTCCCGCTTCTCAGGGGCCTGGGGTAAGGAGGCTAAAAGCTCAAGGCCAGCCCAGACAATTTTGTGAAATCCTATCTCAAAATAAAAAATAAGAGGGGCTGGAAATGTATCTCAGTTGTGGTAGAGCACCCTGGGTTCAACTGTGTATATATAAAAAAAATCGACGTCCTTGCTATTAATGAAATATTTATTCCAAACTATTCTTCCAAAAGAAGTGAGGATGGATTTCTATACATAATTCAGATGTGTTTTCCTGGATTTGTAAAATTCAAAGGCGATAGAAACTGAGAATGGTCTGATTCAAACAGAAATGTTCATATTATTTGCAAGTTATGTAGGGAAAAGGCTAAAATCTAAAAGAAAGAGAATGATATTAAAAACTCACTGAAAATATAAGAAATTGCTTGTACAAGTAATATTCATTTTTAGGTTGTATAAGATCTGGCAAGTATTAGGTTGGAAAATTAGGAAACTGAAATATACAAAGACAATAGAGATAAAAATACAAAGAATGTTCTTCTCCCTATAACATTAAAAACGTAAAAGGATGTAGGGAAAATGCTAAAAATATCACACATTACTTTTACATCCATGTCAATAACAGTGTTTGACTTTAACAAATGGGTCAGTTGTTAGTGTTTCTTACTCTAACCTGTTGACCAAGCACTAAAATTTAAAGCACAGTAACCGTGCTGCAGAAACACATGTAGTAGGATCCCAGCGGTAAGGAATGAAAATTGTGATAAATGATATGAGCTTTGCTGAAGTAAAATCATTTAAATGATTCTCAGTGCACGGGAAGGGGCTGTGGAGAGACTCAAACTGCTCACAATGGTCCCCTTTTTTGTATTTGTTACTTTTCGTTGTTCTGGTTTTTGTTCTTTTTTAACTGTGTACCTTCTGGGGGACACAATATGATAATTTCTTCCAAGTATACAATATATAATGATCCAGTCGGGGTAATCAGCAAAAAATAAAAATAAAATAAAATTTAAAGTGCAAAAGTTCCAAGTCTCCCGCGTAAACACACCAGACAATATGAGTTTACCTGCAAATCACTTCAAAACTTGGATGCTATCTTTCCACAGAAAAAAAGAGTATATATGGTCATGGGTCCTTAATCAGGTCCAGGAAAAGGAATGACATTCATAATTTAAGAGAAGCCAGGGTAGCATAAATACTAGATTTTGATGTTTCATGCCCTAGCACATGGGACTTTTACTGGATCTCAGATAAATTCTCTCTAGAAGAAAATCAATGGGAGACCAGCCCACCACTCTACCATGGCCAGGTCACCAGGGCCTTCTACCCCAACCCTCTCGCTAACTCTCTGCCCTCACCTTTCTTGCCCTTGGCACAGTGTTTTCCTTCTAAATCTTTTACTGCTGCTTCTCTTCTTCAAACTTTTTGACTGCTGCTCTCTCCTTAAAAGCTGAAATTCTACCTTTCACCTTTCTATGTTTTTACATGGATAACCTCACTGTCCTCTATGAAAGTCAAGAGCTGCTATTATGTACTAAGAACTTTACACCTTGGCTACAGTCCTGTTACATCCAGAACCTTCTGGTATTTCAGTTGGCCAGGGACTTCAACTTCAACAAGCTAAAGAGAATTCATCATTTTGATAAAGGGGCCAAACAGGCTTAGTGGAGGAAAGATGGCCTCTTTAATAAACAGGGCTGGAAAAACTGGCTTTTCACATGCTGAAGGCTAGAATTGGACCCATGCCTATCACCATGCACAAAGCTACAGTCAAAATACTTAGGAATCATTAGAGGCTGGAGAGAGAGCTCAGTGGAATAAGTGCTTGCCTGGCAAGTGCAAGGTCCTGAGTTCAATCCCTGGTATCACCAAAACAACAACAAAACAAAACAAAACAAAACAACACAAAACAAAACAAAACAAAACAAAACCAAAACCAAAACAAAACACCTTAGGAATCAATCTCACAAAGGATGTAAAAGATTTATACAGTGAAAATTACGGTACTCTGAGAAGAGACTAAAGAGGATTTGAGAAAATGGAAAAATATTCCATGCTCCTGGATAGGAAGAACTAACATTGTGAAAATGGCTATACTCCCAAACTTGCTATACAGATTCAATGCAATCCCAATTAAAATACCATTAGTATACCTCATAGAACTAGAGAAAACTTTCCTTAAATTCATTGGCACCAGAAGAGACCCAGAATATCAAAAGCAATCCTGGGAAACAAAGAAAAGGCAGGAGGTTTCACAATCCCTGACCTAAAATTATACTATAAAGTTACTGTGATAAAATCAGCATGGTACTGGCATAGAGATATACCTGAGGATCAGTGGAACAGATGAGAAGATGCAGACACAACTGTAAATACACTCAGCCACCTTATCTTTGATAAAGGGGCCAAACAGGCCCCTTTATTGGAGGAAAGACAGCCTCTTTAATAAATGGTGCTGGAAAAACTGGCCTTCCACATGCTGAAGGTTAAAATTAGACCCATGCCTATCACCCTGCACAAAGCTGCAGTCAAAATGGATCAAATATTTAAATGTTAAAACAGAAACACTAAATCTTCTGGAGGAAAATGTAGGTAGAAATCTTAAAGACACAGGGGTAGAGAGTTCATGAACAAAAACCAAACTGCATGGAAAATAGTTCAAAGAATCAACAAGTGAGATCTCATCTTTTTGAAAAATTTCTACACTTTAAAGCAAATTTCCAACAGAGTAATAAGAAAACCAACAAACTGGAAAAAAAATTATAGCCAACTGTCCCTCTGACAAAGGCTTTCTTTATAGAATATACAAAGAATTTTAAAAAATCAGGCCCCCCTAAATTCAAAGACCCAATCCAAAAATGGACATCACAGATGAATCTAAACTTCTCAGAGGAAGAAATACAAATATCAAGTAAATATATGAAAAAATGTTCAACATCATTGATCATTCGAGAAGTGCAAATTAAAGCAACACTGAGATTCCATCTCACCCCAGAAAGAATGGCTGACATCAAGAAGTCAGCCAATAACAAATGATGGAGAAGCTGTGGAGAAAAAGGAACCCTTTTGAACTGTTGGTGAGAGTGCAGCCTGGTAGAACCACTGTGGAAATCAGTGTGGTGATTCCTTCAAAAGCTAGGATTGGAGACCCCATTCAGGCCAGCTATTCCCCTCTAGGGTATTTTTCCAAAATAACTGAAACATTCATAACTGAGCGATATATGTACACCCATGTTTATAGCAGCGCAATTTGTCATAGCTAAATCCTGGAAACAACTCAGATGCCCATGAACTGAATAATGGATAAGAAAGGTGTGCTATTTTTACACAATGGAGTATTATTCAGCTATAAAACAGGATAAATTTGAATCTTTTGTTGGTACATGAATACAACTAGAGAATATATTCCTTTTTTTTTGGCTGGCTCAGCCTGCCCTGAGGGTGGGGCTGGGGGGTATGTGGTGTCGGGAATAAACCGTGGTCCCCTACACTGGCCTAAGCTTGGCTAAGCAGGTACTTTAGACCATTTAGCTATCTTGCTGGCTCTAGAGAATGTATTCTTTTTTTTTTTTTTGCTCCTTATGCCTTCATGGCAGGTTTGGCTGGCTTGAGTTGTAAGGATCGAACTCCAGCAACCTGAGCCTGACTGCTTTGTTGAAGCAGCCACTTAAAGAACTGAGCTTAGGGGCAGGCCCCCGAGAATGTATTCTTAAGTGAAATAAATCAAACCCATATATGCAAACATCATATTGTCTCCCTAGTGTGAGAACCTGAAAGAGAAAAATGGAATCTAAAGGATACAATAGACAGTGGTAAAAGGGAATAAACTTATTCAAAATGAAAGAGTTACTGAATTGAGGAGAACAGGAGAGGCAGTGGGGGAAAGAGATTCATCTACGTATATAAGCAGGATGCTTTGGACAACTGTACTGTGCATTTCTGCTGGTTTATGGAAAGAAGCAGTTAATGCTTTAAGTTGTTTTGTCTCCTTTTTTTCTTTCTTTCTTTCTTTTTTTTTTTTTTTTACAGGTATACAGCACCACACCCATTTTGGGGAGGTCCTTTTTATTTTTATTTTTTAATAGATTGCAAATTGAAAATAAATTATTTACAAACATAAATGAATATAACAATAAAAGCTGTCCAAAATAAAAATGAAGAATTTACAGATCAGTCATAATAGTTCACTGTGTCAAAACCCAGAAATTTATATTAATGTAATTAGAATTCTCAAAGTAGAAAGGAGTAGGCAATTA